GCCCAAACTTCCTTCCAAAGCCCAATGGCAAGACATTGCCTAATTCTGCATCCAATTTAGTACCCTTTGAAACTAGGGTTTTCTATAGAGGCCCTTTTAACATAAAAACCCTTTCGCTTCTCTTCACTTCTCTTCACTTCCTTCGACAAACGCAGTGCAGAGGGAAAGTGAGCTGTGCAGAAATGGTGAACTACAAGGTGAAGGCTCTTTTTTTCTTTAGTGTTTTTTCATGATTCTGCATTTCTTATCTGGATCCTCAAGATTTGAACAAACAATGATGTTTTGTTGGTGTGATTGCAGTTCCATCAGTACCAGGTTGTTGGTAGAGCTCTGCCCTCTGAAACAGATGAACATCCCAAGATTTATCGTATGAAATTATGGGCTACCAATGAAGTTCGTGCTAAGTCCAAATTCTGGTATTTACAGCTTTATTTCTTCTCGATCTTCTTTAATGTATTTATGCTGGTTAATTGTTATGCTAATTAGGTTTTGTTTGATTATTTTGAAAATAAAAAAAGGTATTACTTGAGGAAGCTGAAGAAGGTTAAGAAGAGCAACGGTCAGATGCTGGCTATTAACGAGGTATGATGAGGTTACGTATCTCTATATGTGTATTTTTGGATTGTATGTATTAGAAATGGGTGATTAGTAATTTAATGATAGCAATTTTTGTGCCTGTTTGTGTCTTTGGTCTATTATGTTCTGGTTTTAAGTGTTCGGATTCTAATTGATTTGTTCTTTCGGGTAACACAACGCAAATTTCTGAAGCTCGGGTGAGCATGCATTGCAATCAGGATCCTTACTTCTAATTGGTTGTTGGATTGTAGTATTTGGTAAGTTCAGGAGACGGTGATGTAGAAAATCAGTGGTTTTTTTTTGGTTGGTTGGGGGGGGGGGGGGGGTAATAAGTTGGAGCCTAGTTTAGGGTCTGACTTTTAGGCAGACTTACACTAAGCTCAAAAGAGTAGGGAAATGACTTCTCTTAGTGTGTTATAGGAATTCCAAGCTTCCATAGGATGTTGAAAAATGCTGCAACAACTTGGTAAAAACCTTCTATATAAATTGAGATGTTCAATGTTAAGGTTCTAGAAACATCTTTGAACACTATTAGCCCTTCTCTGTCAAATTGTTAGCAGACAGAATAGCAAAATTGATACGGGTGATGCCAGTTGATTGGAATTGAGGTCTAGTCGTGCTGATAAGTTTACATTGGGTCCAATATTGGCTTAGAGATACTTTAATCTTGCTAGTGATTTGTTAGTGTAGAAGTAAATCTAGAGAGTTAGATATCTTAAGTTATTGAATATTTGAATGAAGCAGGTTCAAATGGAGCAAAATAGACGGTGAGGATTCATAAAGTTGAACCCGATTTTCTTGGGAATGAGGCTTTGTTGTTGCACGACATGCATACACCATATCCGTAGTTCTTTTATTTTACCTATCATGTGGTAATCATTCTGAGAAGGGGAACAGTGGTTAATAAGCTGTTGTTGGACAGTCTGGTAGTCTTGCTTTAACTATTCAAGAGTTTGGGGGTCTTTGCTAGTTTAAAGTCCAACTGATACTTAGTCCTGTACTCATTCAGCCAATGGGTTGTTGCTCTATCTGCAATGTGTAAATATGATGCAGTGATTAGCATTTACTATTTTTATTCATTTTCGTGAATTATTTTCATGTTCCTGTGAGCTGTGGGGTTTTATTTCAGCAGCTCTCTGGTCTCCTTTAACTATAAATGTTATATTGAACTACCTCAATAAGATTGTGTGTTTAACTTTTTTAGATCTTCGAGAAGAACCCAACAAAAATCAAGAATTATGGTATTTGGCTCCGTTACCAGAGTAGAACTGGGTATCATAACATGTACAAGGAGTACCGTGATACCACATTGAATGGTGGCGTGGAGCAGATGTACACTGAGATGGCTTCCCGCCACCGAGTTCGCCATCACTGCATTCAGATCATAAAGACAGCCACCATTCCAGCTAAGCTCTGCAAGAGGGAGAGCACAAAGCAGTTCCATGACTCTAAGATCAAGTTCCCCTTGGTGTTCAAGAAAGTCAGGCCACCTAGCAGGAAACTCAAAACCACATACAAGGCTACTAGGCCCAACCTGTTCATGTAACATGTTTGGTCACATGTGCATTGAGAAGCAACTTCTGATTTCTGCAATTTTGGTGATTTAGCTGAGTTAATTTAAGATTCATTGTGATAGAGAGAAGGTTTTCCCTTTTTGTTCTGATCAAATGATGGTGGTTATTAGAATATTTTTAAGCATGGTATTTTGTTTGGTTTTATTGTTGCAGTTCAGTTTTGCAAAGTTCACCTTCCTGCGTTTAAAACAAGACTTACTGAAAAAATCAGACATTACCAGGACTAGCTAAATATATTTTGTTAGCATTGGTGTATGTTGCCCTTTTAATTTTGAGTTTTAGGATATTTGCCAACGGGCGGCACTGATCATGTGTACGTGGTGATGGACCAAAAAAGAATGCTAACAAAATTTAAAACAGACTATCATTTTGGTAGCTTGGTATTGGTTATGTAGCTAATAACTTCGTGTTGAATGTGAAATGGCAGGGTGGCATTTCTAGCCAATTTTGCTCTAAAAATTCCTGCAACAAATTTGAAACAGACTATCATTTTGGTAACTTAGTATCGATTATGTAGCTAATAACCTTGTGTTGAAGGGGTCGAATGTGAAATCGTAGGCTAGCATTTCTAGCCTATTTTGCTCTATGAAGCAACGATCAAATTTCTTTTTGGTTTTAATTTGCATGCACTAAAGAAATTGTACACTATCAACCTGTTGTATATGTCATTGATTTCACTTTTTACGGACATCTAAATATAATTACTTTTAAGGTGACTTGGTATGTGATTCATTTGTTGCATAAAGGGGAGCTCTTTCATTATAACTACATTGGCTTTTTGCGCAGGCGTTAGCCACTTATAGGGCTGAGATGAACTTGTTTGAAAAGTAAAGAGAAGCTCAAATCTGCACCCTTCTCTTGCTGCATCTCATATATTCCAATTACATGTCACAATATCTGGTTTTACAGCGAGAAATTCTAAAATAGCCAGATTTACAAGTGGTCATTCAAAAATAGCCATAGTTTTAAAAGTAATCGAAATTTAGCCACTTTTCATGTAAAGATAAATCTGAACGAAAACACTGTTCAAAACCCGGAAAATACTCCAGCACAATATACTGGAACCAATGTATTATACTGGAATTCCAACATAATATACCTCCAGCATAATATGTTGCAAGTTCATACACGGGTGCTCCAATCTCCAGTATATTATGCTGGAACTTTCCACGTGTTGGAGTTCCAGTATAATATGCTGGAAGTTCATACATAGGTGCACCGATCTCTAATATATTATGCTGGAATTTTTCGTGTTGCGGCAAAATAGTGACTATTTTTCAATGGCTTTACAAACGCTGACTATTTTTGAATGACCTGTCCGAAAACTGACTAGCCCGTGCTATTTTTACGGTTTTACAATGATAAAAAGAATTTTGGGTGGAAGTTTTAATATAAGTAGGGAAATGCATGCATGACAAAATGGAAGTTCAGACATGGATGTGATGTGACCTCTCACCAAACTAGATAGATGTCAACATGCTCTTCATTTGCTACAAAATGCTACTATAAGAAACTCTACTATAAAGCCATAATTACTCCAAAGATTTAACTTTTCCTGATCCTCTACTTTAGCAGCAATTTTTGACATGCCTCAGATGAAAAAACCTAGATTATATATTTGGCCAGTTATTTCCACCAACCTCAATCAAAGTGAAAATGTAAAGGTATACTCAATATAAAGTAAAAGTAAGCCATGACACTCATCTTTCTAGAGGATACAAGGATATCCTTTCACCAACGAGGAAGAAGATAAAAGTTTGGCGAGTTTCTAATTGTATGTATTAAATTTGCTTTTCCTAAAGTTCCTATCACCAATTTCTTAAAAGAAATAAGGAGAGATCTTACTTATTGTTGAAAGTATTTTGATGTATAGAGAAATTAAATAAAATTGAAATATGGAAATATTTATTGAACAAAAACGATTTGAATATTCTATTTTTAATTAGTATTATAAATCAAAAACAAAAAGAGGAGGAGGTTATGCATGAGAAAGAAAGAAATTGGAGTATGTGTAGTATTGTTAATTTGGGAGCCATTATTATGAATATGAGAAAAGAAGCTTTAATTTGGTATATGATTACAGTGGGGCAAAAGCACCTTATCTTTGTCTACCACCACAGTATGCTAATATCATTACCTTTCTCTACTGTTGACCTGTCTTGTACTGAAACTTTGACATAAACTGACATGAAAAAACTTGCTAATCAAGCTTTAGTTGAATCTTGTAATAGCAATAATCATATGTTTGTAAAGAAATCACACGTTTGTTGTTTGTTCAAATTTTTGTTAGAAATGTGATGTGTCCCATTAATCCAAATGATTGAAATTTGTGGTATTACTCTTAACTGCACATTTAAAATTCTCTCTAGCTATAATTGTGTCTCTTTCAACCCCTTGAATTTTTGAGAATGGTGATTAAGCTTATGACTTATGCAATGGTAACTTATTACCGTAATCCAAATCCATAATATTCAACTTCGATCATAAACGCAACCTCACTCTAAATTTTCTTCTCTTTTCCTTCTTTTCAATTCTTTTTCCGCCCCTTAAATTTCTCCATACTCTATTTCCTATATTTACTGCAGTAACTTTTTTTTTTTTTTTTTGAAAAATTCCCAGGGAAACCCGCAGCCACTATCCTTCGGATGCATATTGAGTAACCTGCTAACTGTGCAGTAGCTCACTGTAGAATTTATTACTATTGTATGTAGCTGGCATTTTTGTATGACATGAAGTTATGGCTACTTGTTCTTTTTGTTCAATGATCTGAAAGTAGCTTCTTTATACAAAAAGCAAAAGACACATCTTAGTAGAGCTAATACAATAATGTCCTTAGTCTAATCTAGACATCATGCCCATCATTACAACCTAGATTAAATAAAGTCAATTGGTTATCCTTGTTTTTCATTTGAAATAAATAAAAAAGCTAAGAATGTCGTAAAGTGAAAAATCTTCAAAAGAGTCCTTTAATTGCTTTGCATGGTTTAAAAAGTCCATTTCTCACTGCAAAAAAACTTTGTTATCTTGAGTTTCTTTTTCCATCAAGTACTAACTTTACTGAGAATTCAGATTTCTCAGTACTGAATTAGCTGCACTTTTGAAGTTAACTTGGAATTCTGATCTTCTTGGATTCTGAAGAATCGAAGAATGAGGAAATATTGGCTGCCATCTTCAAGCATTTCTGCAGCCTTTGCTTTTATTGTACTTCCCCATTTCATTGCTTGTTTATCCAATGAAGAAATCCAACTCAACAGCCAGTTGATTAGCATCAACCAGCATGTTCACAAGGTATGATCAACCCCCCACTCCCACCCCCCAATACCAATATTGTTAATATGTTACATAAGCGGATTCATGATTTAAATTTTGCGAGTTCAATATTCATATTCTCAAGATTGAATCCATTGCACTGTCGCAACTATGGGTTCAAAACTTAGTATATTGTAGAATTTATAGTGATTTCTCACATATATATTTATTATAACCCGTACAAAGCACAGGTTTCTGTTGAACTCGTTGACTATTGTTCATTGTTTTGTTTAGGGAGAGAGAGAGAGAAGGAAAAGAAAGTGAACAAGTTTTCCTTTCACTTGCTTGGTTTATGACGAGTTTAGAAACAAAATATGGGACATATATAGGAAAATCTTTTACTTTCCCTATTCCTTTCTCTTCTTCTAAACAAGGAATGAGAATTTGACTAGTAATGCCAAGTGTTGCAGGTTAATTCTCATAAGACATTTGAGATTGAAATTCATGGAATATTGTTGTGGGCTTCAATGGGATTCTTGATGCCTGCTGGAATACTCACAATTAGACTGTCCAACACAGAGGAGTGTAGCCCAACAAGACTCAAAGTTCTCTTCTATGTTCACGGAATTCTTCAGGTATCTAATATTTCACTCTTATTTCTAATTCTTCAAATTCTGAGAAACTTTTGAAAGAAAGAACTCGGATATTACTAGGGGAGAATAAATTGAAATTGTTTAAATTAAAGGGATAAAAAAAGAACATCTCTTTTGAGCCATGTCAAGTAATCATTATAAATTGGTCTTTACTTTGTTCTGCTACGTAATTATCATATGTGCACTTTAATCATGGTAAGAGTTATACTAAAGTTCAAAATTTATTTAGGTGAGCCCACAGTTTGGTGGGAGTATAACTAAAACGGATTTGACTATGATTATGGCCATTATATGTGGCAAGCAAACAGAATTCCGGTGCTAATCTAGTAATCTTCATAATTCAGAATTTGTTGAAATAAATACTAGACAATTAAAAAATAATATCTAGTATATTATTTATAATTGAAATGCCATTCTTTCTTTTTATTTTTTCTCTTTTAATGATGAAAAGGTGCTATCAGTGCTACTGGCTACTGCCGGAGCTGTGCTATCAATCAAGAGCTTTGAGAATTTGTTCAACAACAATCACCAAAGAATAGGTGTAGCCCTTTATATTGCCATTTATGTCCAATTTCTTATGGGATTTCGCCGGCCTAAAAGGTAACATTTTTTTAATTTTTGCACAACCAGTAGACCATGAAGAACTAGGACTACTTATCAAATATACTACGTAGGATATTAAAAACAGTACACCCTCCGTTTCATATTATATGAGCTAGTTTGACTCGGCACAGAGTTTAATAAAAAAGAAGAATACTTTTGAAACTTGTGGTCTTAAAAGCTTAAGGGGTAAAAAATTTGTGGGGCCATGACATTTGTGTGGCTATAAAAGCTTCTCATTAAGGGTAAATGGGTAAAATAAAAGAGTTTAAAGTTGAATTATTTTCAAATTTAGAAATGTGTCATTTGTTTTGGAAAAGACTAAAAAGGAAAATACCTCATTTAATATGAAACGGAGGGAGTAATATCTTTGCTTTCAATAGGAAATTTGAACTCCATTTCCTAAATTATTTGTTTGTCCTTTTGTATCCATAATTTTTTTCGGGCTGGTTTACTCTTATATCAACTACATGCTAATTTCTACTAGCACAATTGCACACACAAATATGAAGTAACTCTAGCCATCAAGGGTTATGTAGATAGGAAAGACCTGCCTCGTATTTTTGTATTCTATTGGCTATTAAATCAGTTGTGTGTTATGGTTTTGATCACTTTATTGACCGTTAGGTCAACGGCGGATCCACGTTAGGTACCATGGGTGCTTAAGCATCCATTGTTTTTGAAAACAACACTACTACTTATATAGAAAAAGTAGTAAATTATACAAATATATTAACTCAGCACCCAGTCTGCGTAGCAATTGTAAAATCAAGAATAATTGAGCACCCACGATTTAAAAATTCTGGATCCGCCACTGCGTTAGGTTACCTCCTTGAGCCATTTGTAACTATACTAAAGTGTGTCAACATGAGTACGTTGTATGATACATATTAAGTATAAAATTTTTGGACTGCAGGGGAAGTAAAGGAAGAAGTGTATGGTTCTTCTTCCATTGGCTACTTGGAACAACAATATGCTTGGCCGGAATTATCAACACCTACACAGGCTTAACAGCCTACCATGAAAGAACATCTAAGCCAACAGGCCTTTGGACTATAATTTTTACAGCACAAATCTCATTCATGGGATTTTTCTATCTTTTCCAAGACAAATGGGAATACATACAAAAGCAAGGGGTCAATCTTGAAAATGTCGAATCTATGACACCCCAAGTGGAAATAGTTGTTCCTCAGAGTGATGGCCAAAAGATGATAATGAGAACTGAATCAGGACGGAAAAGCAATGCCCTTGGGACTTACTTTTCTAGAAGCAATGTCCTCAATAAATTATTTCAACAAACTTGAATATATCATGTTTTTGGAAACTGTAATTCCTATTCCTCCACCTTTTTTCTTGTTTGCACTTTATAGATACTAGATTTTGGTGTATTGTTATTTGAGGACACCAATTATGTGAATGCATCATTACATAGGGGGAAGGTTATATATTGATTCAAACCACCCCTTACTCCTCCTTCCCCAAACATGAATTATGGTTTTTAGATTTCTCAAGAGTGATTAGGTCGTTCTATGATGGTAAGGGAATGTATTGTTTTTGTACATAGATAAGAGTATTTCTCACGTTTTGTACTGTGTTGACGGCATAAATATTGATACGCGGCGCCTTCCTGAGATTCCTTGGAAGGGCGACGTAAGGCTAGGCAACTGATGTCAGTGCAGTTGCTGTCCGCCAATTGAGGTCCCCTCCGTACGCTAGACGAGATTGTCAGTGCCGTACGGGGAAACCAATATCAAGAGCAATTGAGAGAACAGAAATGAGAATTCAGAATGAAAGAAAGCTTGATTGCATTAATGAAAGCTATTACAGAAAAGCAACGCGGTGTCGAGGGGGAGAGACACCAGTACAGAGAATTGCTTGCTTGCTAGAAAGTTTTGATTGCTTGATCCCCCCCTAATAGTACTTAAAAAAAATAATCCAAAGTTACAGGAGTAGACTTGATTAAGCTAGAGAAACATAATGGAAGTACATGAAATAAAACTACTCTATATTTACAATGAAAATGACTTAGTCTTCTATAAGGCAGCAGCAGGTCCGTTGTCAGCAGCAGTGTCTTTGGCATCACGGTCTGCGCGCGCGGCGCTGTTGGCTTCTGCCTGCGGCTTGGCGCTCGCGAGGGATATCGGTGGGGCGACAGAGGCACCTGCGCACTTGTCACTTGGCGCGGCCAAGACCACGGGGCCGTCCGTGGCGCTAGGCATTGGGAGGTTCGTTAGGACGCCACGGGGCGCGCCCAAGGGGTCATGGGGCATGGCTGGAAAGCCGCCCATGACATTCTCCCCCACCTGAGTTGGCGACGTCCTCGGCGCCTTACTTGCAAAATAATCTTCAATGAGGCTCTTGTATGCTTTGAGGTTTGTTCCCCTCTCCCAAGTATTCTCTTCTGCATCACAGCCCTGCCATTTCACCAAAAACTCTTGGTGATCTTTCCTTGAGGCATGAATCACTCTGTCATCAAGGATAGCTTCAACACGCCTTTTCCCGGTTGAATTGGGACCTCGAATACTGGGTATTGTGAGCTGGCTCCTTGAAGGATCCTCCGTGTCTTCCCGAAAAGGTTTCAGGAGACTGACATGGAAGACAGGATGAATTTTCCACCAAGCTGGGGTATCCACCCGGTATGCAACCTTCCCAATACGCTTTTCAATGGACAAGGGGCCAATGTATTTTTGCAATAGGCGAGGGTCATGGACCCCTGCAAATAAGTACCGCTTTGGAATTTTGACCATCACTTTGTCTCCTACTTGATATTCAACAAAGCGACGATTCTGATCAGCATGCCTCTTCATCCGCTTTTGGGCTTTGACAAGGTAGCTCCGCACTATCTCCAAATTCCGCCTCCACTCTTTTGAGAAGCTGGCAGCTCGAGGAGATTTAGCCATGTTTGGTGCATTCACAGTTTGTGGGAGTAGCGGTTGCTGTCCGGTAACAATTTCAAAAGCGCTTTTGTTGGTACTAGAGCTCTTTTGTGAATTGAATCACAGTTGAGCAGCATCCAGAAGCTTCACCCGATTCTTCTGCGATCCAGTTACAAAGTGGCGGAGGTATTCCTCCAACATACCATTGAACCGCTCCGTCTGGCCATCAGATTGCGGATGAAAACTTGAGCTGTGACTCAATTTTGACCCAAGGCACTTGAAGAGTTGGGTCCAAAAGTTGCTAGTGAAGCGTGAGTCGCGGTCACTAACAATGTCTTTGGGCAGGCCCCAATATTTGACGACATGAGAGAAGAAGAGTTGAGCTGTATCTTCTGCTGATATATATTGTGGGGCTGCAATAAAGGTGGCATACTTGGAAAACCGGTCCACCACAACCAAGATGGTTGTGAGATCTCCGACCTTGGGCAATCCGGTGATGAAATCCAGGGAAACGCTTTCCCAAGGTCTCTTTGGGACAGCAAGTGGTTCCAAGAGTCCCGCTTGTGTCAAGCGGTCCGACTTGTTCTTCTGGCATACTAGACAAGTCTTCACATACTGAGCGACATCATCGGCCATTTGAGGCCAATAATAGGCACGACGAAGTAACGCCATGGTACGTTCTTCACCAGGATGGCCGACCCACAGAGTATCATGACATTCCGCTAGAAGAGTCCTCCGCAAATCTCCTCCTTTAGGAACATAAAGTCGGTTCCCTTTTACTTTCAGAAAACCGTCTTCCATGTAGAACTGGCGAGTCTTGCCCTGTCCTACCAAATCAACCAAATACTGAGCAGCAGGATCCTTGATGAGTAGATCCCGTATTTGGTCCTTGATGGATGTGGCTACCTCGCTCCCCCTTAGGGTGGCGAGTAGGCACACCGATGCTAGATCAGCTCTCCGATTGAGCGCATTAGCAACATGATTGGTCTTTCCACTGCGATACTCCAAGTTAGTGGAATTCAGCTAGGAGTTCCTGCCACCTGGCCTGTCGACCGTTCAGCTTTGGCTGGGTCATGAAATGGCTAACAGCTGTGTTGTCTGTCTTGACCACGAACGGGGTTCCCAGCAATAGTTCTTCCATGGGCGGCATGGCGCTGCTCTGATTCTTCAGCTTCCGACTCTCGTACGCTACAGGGTGCCCTTCTTGTATCAGGACTCCGCTGAGTGCATAGTCAGAAGCATCTGTTTGTACCTCGAACGGCTTGGCCAAATCAGGAAGGGCCAAGACAGGACTACTAGACATAGCCGCTTTTAATGCGTTGAAGGCCTCTGCTCTCCTTGGTCCCCAATCCCAAGGTGTGACCTTTTTGAGGAGTTCTGTCAATGGCACTGCGATAAGTGAGTAGTTCTTCACAAACCGCCGGTAGAAGTTGCATAGGCCAAGGAACGCCCTCAAGGCGTGGACATCCTTAGGTGGCGGCCAATCTGTGATGGCCTGGATTTTCTGTTGGTCCATCTTGATGCGTCCTTCCTCGATGACATGTCCGAGGAAATCAATTTGCTTCTGAGCAAAGGAGCACTTGGATAACTTTGCATATAGTTCATGTTCCGCAACCGAGCTAGGACCTTCCGCAAGTGTACTAGGTGTTCTTCCAATGTCTGGCTATATACCACAATGTCATCTAAGTAGACCACCACAAATTCGTCGATGTACTCTCGGAAGACTTGGTTCATGAGAGTGCAAAACGTAGCAGGGGCGTTGGTCAAGCCGAATGGCATGACCAGGAAGTCGTACGACCCATATCTTGTCACACAAGTCGTCTTGTGTTCATCACCCTCTGCAATCCGAACTTGCCAATAACCTGTCTTCAGATCTATCTTGGTGAACACCGTAGCACCACCCAGTCTATCAAACAAGTCCGCCATTAGGGGAATAGGGTACTTGTTCTTCACGGTGATTTTGTTTAGAGCTCGATAATCCACACAGAGTCGCAAGTTGCCATCATGTTTCTTTTGGAATAGAACAGGGGACCCATATGGGGACTTGGAGGGTATAATGATCCCTGTATCTAGCATTTCCGTCAATTGTCTCCGAAGCTCGGTGAGTTCGGGTTGTGACATTCTGTAAGGCGCCCGGGCAGGTGGCTTCGCGCCCGGCACCAACTCAATTTCATGGTCCACAGTGCGCCTAGGCGGGAGCCGCTTTGGCATGTCTTGTGGCATGACATCTTCAAACTCCAGTAGTAACTCCTTCACGGGTTCAGGAATGGGACCCGAGGAGCGTTCTATATCTTCAATGCAGAGGGTTGCCAGGAACGTAGGTTCATTCCTTTTGACCCCCTTCTTCAACTGCAAGGCCGAGATGTTCTCAACGGCCATCTTCATGGGCAGGCACGGGATAATGCAGGGCTTGGCCCTATTGGTACCCATCATCAGTAGCATGTCTGCAAATGGTACAGGCATGGTGTTGGTTTGCCTTAGGAATTCCAGCCCAACAATCAACTCGAAGTCATCTATGATCACCACTCGCAGGTTGAATTTTCCTTCATAAGGCCCAAGCTTCACCGGTACTTCTTTAGCTATTCCACCCACTGGCTGGGGAGGTGAGTTGATAGCCTTGACGCTACCTTTACCTTTCCCTACAACTAGTCCAAGGCGCTCTACCTGAGTCGAGGCTAAGTAGTTGTGGGTAGCACCCGTGTCTATCATAGCCCGAATGGGCTTGCCATTCACCTTCATCTCGACGAACATTAAGGTCCTCTCTTGTTTAAGAGGAGTCTCTTCATTCGCCTTCTTTTTCCCTTTCCTGGAGACGGGACATGAGTCCTTCTTCTTACGAATACCAGCACTGGTCTCCACTAGTGCCTCAGAAATGGAACCCACAATTGCATTGAAGGCACCTACTGGTTCAGTCTGGTCCGCATCGTCTGAGTCGTCATCAGTCCCATCATCAATAGCCTGATGGGCATTCATCTGTGCATGTGGGCACTCATTGTTCCAATGTGGGACCGCCGATGACGGCATCCTGAAGGGGCTTTCTCGCTCGATCATTGTTGTTTGGCGCAGCACTGTTGCTGCCGGAGGAAGGAGCTCTAGATTTGTTTGAGTTCCGATCTCCCCCATTTTTGCTAGGACCACCACTGCTGGGCTGGCCCCCTTTGAACCCTGCTCGGGCAGGCGGCTGAGGCCTGTCCCTTCGAGCTTCCATTTGATAGTCCCCAAGGCATTCAGCTGCTTGGATTGCCTTGGGAAGGGAATCTACCCTTTGTCTCTGTAGCTCCACGCGGGCATAAGGTTTCAACCCTTCCATGAAGGTGAAGAGTTTGTCCTTATCCCCCATGTCGCGTATGCTGAGCATGAGTGCGGAGAATTCTCGCACGTAGTCTCGCACTGATTTTGTTTGGCGGAGCTCCTGTAGTTTTCTCCTTGCATTATATTCAACATTCTCGGGAAAGAACTGCAGGCGTATAGCTGCCTTCAGTTCGGCCCATGTCTCGAGAGCATCTTCACCGGCCTTGATGGCTTCGTACTTCACACGCCACCAGAGTTTAGCATCACCCTGAAGATACATG